ACATCTCCCTTTCTCAAAAAAAAGACGCTGTCGTGGGCACATGGTCTCCCCTTTGAAATCGTATGATCAGGAAAATTTGTTGAAATATTAGAATGCTAGAAAATTTCGCAAAATGGTATACAGACCTTTTGTGCAAATATTAACTCCTATGCTTTTTAGGCTAAGAATATTGTTATTTTTAAACAAGTTTTTTAAGTGTTAGAATTTTAGCTCTTACAACTTCACCCCGTTGATTTAGGCTCAGCATGTCCGAGAAGATGTTTGCCAAACATTCAAGAAAGTTCGTAAAGTACCCAGATGGTTACGGATCTTGAAAACGGTCAGCGAATCGTAAATATGGAACTTATGTTGAGAAATAAAACTTTTTTAGATCTACCACGATTACGGGCTCAAGCACATTTGTTTGATATCAGTTCTTATTATTTATCAATTTATTGGCGCCGGTGTTTTCTATTTTTGTGAAGCGGGTTATGATGAATCTAAAGAGAAGATTTGGAATATGAGGTAACCATTTTTTCCACGCATAACTTCTTAACGAGAAAAATATATCTATACAATTTCGTTAAATGTTGCGCATATGTTGTTGAACATATCTACAAAAATTCCCTTTACTGCTGAAAATTGCCAATTCTTTCACTACATAAAGTCCCAAATAGGATTCCATCTGGTCCGCTAAAAATTTTTTACAGAATTTTTCTGCTGAGATGCGTTTATGATTTTATCCAACCACCATTTTTTTGGGCAAATGTGTATTTAATAAATATTTTCAGAATAGCCGAAAATCGAACAAGATTCGTATTCGACATTATTCCGTTGATGTTTAATAACACAGACTATTTATTTTTTCTCACCCAGGAACAGACTAATGAGGTTAGCAATCCTCGAAATTCTTGAAATTTCTAAAATTAAGAAAACATCTGCTTAGGTTTCCGCAAAACTTCATGCGGAAGTGACTCGGTATGAAAGACAGCTAGGAATCAAATATACGGATCAAAAAATCAAATGGGATTTCTGGAACGCTATGCTTTATGCGCAGGTGGGAAATTATACCCTAATGATTCACAGATATTTCATTGTGTTTCCGAATCGATCCGTTGATCGTTGATATCGTTTGATCGTTGATATAGCAGATGACCCAAAATTGTATTTGAATTATTTAACGTGAATTTCAGACGATTTGCACTACGATCGGATACGGGCACTTATACCCTTCTACGGTATCCGGACGAGTATTCACGATGATTTATGCAATTTTTGGAATACCGCTGGTGCTCTCGATATTGGACGATCTTGGTAATTTTACTGAGACTTTAGATTTGTATCCTTTCTATTCAAGTTATGGAACAATAGTCTTGCACCAAAATAGATGACCGCTCCAACCTTCATAATATTTCTCCACAATATATCTATTTTTGTTGTACATATAGATGAACAATATCAAAATCTGAAAAAAGACATTTCCAAAATACGAGTCTCCGTATAGAAACATCCGATCAGCATTTAGATATCTCTCAAAGAAAGTAGGTCTTAAAATTCTATACCGAAGTAAAATGGAAGTTTTTGAAACACTTA